GGGGGGCGCCGGGGGCGGGGCCGGCCCTGCCCCGCCCGGCGCCTGGAGGGCCAGGAGGGGAGCCCCTCTCCCGGGGCGGGCAGCGGCCTGAGCGGGTTTCCCGCGCTCCAAGGCACGAACGCAAAAGGAGACCGCAGCCGGAAGGCTAAGGGCGTATGAACGCCTTCGCGTTTTCCTCACACGGATTCCGAGGACGATAGCGGATGGCAGTCAGTTTCCGCGGCCCTAATCCGGTTCAGGCGACTATAGGTGCGGGTTAGCTGGGTCGGGGCCTCAAAACGCAAAGCTGCCCCTGAGGCTGAATAAAGCTGCCGCTGTTTTAATATTGTTTGGATTCTGACTGAAATAATAGCAAAACGTTCCCAAGCTCCAAAACACGAGCTTTCTCCCTGCGTTGTAACATACTTGCAATACGAGAAAAAGCTTATATACAAGTCTTGCTAACAAGCTTTTTCACACTGAAAAAAAAGGGTACAGGAAAAATGAAGGAAACTGAGATAAGCCAGGAAGAAGCATGGATATGACAAACACCACATTTGACGCTGTTTTGCAAGGAACAGTTCTATTTTTTCCAGCAAATGTACCTGCAGAATGGAAATAGAAGCTTCCTGCCAGGTAGAATAAACCAATACTGCTACAGGTTATGAAGACTGCTTTAAACTTGCCATGAAGAAAACACTGGAAGCAGTATCGGAACTCCTGAAGAATCAGCGCATCATCCGAAAATGGTCCTGAACGTTTCTGGATCACAAAATGACAGAAAATAATAATAATAATAATGATGATGATGATGCTTTGAATGCCCACCACGTATTCCTACAACGAAATGCTGGTGCCATAATTGCTGACCATAAAATTACAACCAGCCCGAGGGGCCCGTCACAAGACTTCCCGTCAGTCACTTCCACCTGTCGGCCTGACCTCCGGCCTCAATAATGCAAGGCCCGTCCTTCCCCTCCCTTCCCCTCCCCTCCCCTCGGCCAGCCCTTTCTTGCGTCCTTCTGCTTTTCTCTTCGTGCTCCGTAACGCTACCCCGCATCTCAGCTGCGGGTAAAGAAGCTGGTTTCGTCTCTCACTGCCAGTCCAAAGCTGGAAAAACGGTGAGATTTTATAAATAGTGTTTCACGGCTTTATAGAATTGACAGCTGAAAGTGGCCTTGAGGTATGGAAGGTCCCCGTGGCAGGGAGCCCAAAGCACTGCCGGCAGAAATCTGCTTCAGGGCCCTGCAAGCAACTTTCTCTCCACGTTTAATTTCTCTCTGCTGCGAGTTGAACACATTACAGCGTTTCTTGGAAGTAGCTCCGCTCTTTTTGAAGCTGAACGCGGTATTCCCACCAGAGCCTTAAAAGCGCTACGCACAAGGGACAGATTACGTCACCTCCTGCACGCAGCGCCCCTGAACTCTTAGGCTGAACTCTGACGTCCAAGCCTGTCCCCCCCCCAAGCCTTGCCATCAGCGCGGCGGCACCCGTGGG